GTATCGACAACGTTCGATCGGGCGCAGCGAACACACTGGCTCGGGTGCTTGCTCGTGGGGTCGGGATACGATCGGTACCGAGAGGACTCGATCGGGTTCGCGAACACACGAACTCGTAGGCCGGTCGTTGGATCCTGAGAGGACGGCGAAGTCGGTATCAAGAGCGCTTGATGGAGATAGCGAACACACAATCTCCAGGTGCCGATTTCGTCGATGTGGTTTCGGAAGATGACGGGCAGGTAGAAACGATACGGTCGGATACCTTGCTCTCCGCTCTGAAGCATCGAGTTCGGTCGGCGGTCCGGATCGGTCTCTCCGCTTATTTCTCGGCCACGGTTTATATACCGTCTCGTTACATTTGATGTTGTTTGTTGACGTTACGTGTCTTTAGGCGTGGCGCATGTTTATGTTTGTGTTATTTGTTTGGCGCTTAGCGCCGTTTACAGCCAACGGATGTTGTGTTGACTGTTCTTAGGGACGATGCGTGTAAGGCATCGTCACACGTCCTAAAGGAGAACGCAACTATATCGATTGTTTATGATAAGTCTTGCTGTATACGAAGGTTGATAAGCCGGTCATTGACTGGGAGAATCACTTTATACGGTGCAGTAACATACGGTGAGCGGCCTGATTTTGAGTCAGAGACCCGGAGATCCGCGGAACCATAGAAGAAGAAGGACATATTAAGTGGCGGCGGGACGCCGTGCGTCCGAGATCTGCGTATCTTTTCATTTCAGAGAGAGAAAAATATCGAGAGCGCAGTTTTGTTAAGCCGGGACTCGAACCCGGGTCTTTCGCTTGTCGAGCGATTGCTCTTAATCACTGAGCTACCTAGAGCTACTGACGCTCCACGCTCACGATACTCTCCTTTCCCTAGATAATGCTCAGAGATGTTCGGAAGCGACATCTCCGGCGCGATCCCGAGCGCACAGCGACTACAGAGAGAAATAATATTACTATATCAAATGGTACAACTGTCAGTTTCTCAAAGTCATAGGTTGCTATCCTTTAAGACTGCTGTCCATATATGCCCGTCCCCACTGTTGCCCCTCTTCATCCGGTGCAAATAAGCCCCGAGGTCGACACCACTTTTTTGGCAGCGCCCAGGTACTTGGACGCAATGCGTCATGGGGGATCCATCATAAAAGAAGGAGAATTTGTCGTGGAGTGTAGTATCGCTGTCTAGCTGGATGGTCGAGATCGATTTCAGACTGATAGGAAGGCGACGAATTGCATCGAAAGATTTCTACAATATTTAGAAGAAGAATATTGTAGAATTACAAAGAATATTGTAGAATTACAAAGAATATTGTAGAATTACAAAGAATATTGTAGAATTACAAAGAATATTGTAGAATTACAAAGAATATTGTAGAATTACAAAGAATATTGTAGAATTACAAAGAATATTGTAGAATTACAAAGAATATTGTAGAATTACAAAGAATATTGTAGAATTACAAAGAATATTGTAGAATTACAAAGAATATTGTAGAATTACAAAGAATATTGTAGAATTACAAAGAATATTGTAGAATTACAAAGAATATTGTAGAATTACAAAGAATATTGTAGAATTACAAAGAATATTGTAGAATTACAAAGAATATTGTAGAATTACAAAGAATATTGTAGAATTACAAAGAATATTGTAGAATTACAAAGAATATTGTAGAATTACAAAGAATATTGTAGAATTACAAAGAATATTGTAGAATTACAAAGAATATTGTAGAATTACAAAGAATATTGTAGAATTACAAAGAATATTGTAGAATTACAAAGAATATTGTAGAATTACAAAGAATATTGTAGAATTACAAAGAATATTGTAGAATTACAAAGAATATTGTAGAATTACAAAGAATATTGTAGAATTACAAAGAATATTGCATATTGCTTCGAAGAAACACGGGTTGAAACTTTTATACGGAGCGACTAGATCTGGAAATTAGGAAGTTGGAGATAACTATTACCGGATTAGTCGGAGATAACGTGCTTGAAATGAGAATAGCTTGGATTGGAGAAAATTATGGAAAAATTCGAGAATCTTTGATTAGGCTGTATGATAGGAGATGCAATTCGGTGATTTATGATTATGTGCAGTGTGATTAACGTGTTTCATAATTGTACAGGTGTTTCGTAAAATAGTATGACTCGAAGTTTAAGTACTTCATTATTTTGAGATTATGACGGATGAGTAATTAATTTTACGCAATATATTCCGAATGAAGGTACGTGTGGTCTATGGGACGTAATATAGCACTTATAAAGTGTTTATAAGCAATATTTACACGATATTTAAAAGCTATTAGGATTAAGGGGTAAGGCCACTGTAGAATTTTCAAAAAAACGTTTTTTTTTTTTGCTTAAATGATGCTTTAAGGTCTTAGAAATAAGGTACAAAAGGTCTATAACGAAGAAAAATTCCTAAGTGTCATTTTTGGAAGTTTAAAGCATCGTACCTTTCGATAAGATGTGAAGCGTTTGCGAAGGGATCCTTCTGAGAATAATAAAGGGATTAGTTACGCACAGTTAAGCTTGGATAAGGTTTTCTTAGGTTCCTAGTGAACGTATAGATGGTATTAGTAGTATAAAAGAGCAAATGTGTTAGTATAGGATCTGTATAGCCGTTGAAACGATACAGTTCACACGACACTTTCGTCTCTCTTATATTTTCGGATACAAAATTTGTATATCGATCATACGCTTTAAAAAATTAGTGATTATTTGTACAATGAATGGAACAGTACCGCAGAGTCGTAAAAGTACGAAAAGTACTAGTAGATATGAGAAAAAGTCGAAGATATCAGGCAGAAGACAGTTGAATCGATTTGAAATGGAGGCTGCGCCGAAGAGCGTCAGTAATTCTATTAAGAAACTAAGGAAATCTAAAGAATCATATGATGAAATCAAAGTGAATGAAATTTTTGGCTACCGTTTACTAAATTTTATTGCGGTTTTTACTGCCATTTTGGAATCTATTGTGTAAAACGTGCCATTCTAAAGTGACATTCAGTGAAAGTAGCAAACGAGGCTTGGGATTCAAAATCGTTCTTTCTTGTGAGAACTGCGGCGACATTTTCATTCCGAATTGTCCTTTTATTGATAATGTATATGAAATAAATTGTAGAATGATTTTTGCTATGCGATTATTGGGTGTTGGTCTTTATGGAATAGAAAAGTTTTGCACCTTCATGGATATTTCTCGATCGATTTTTCATTAATTTTACGATAGACTCACGTACACAATTTCACGCGCAACTGAAACAGTTGCTAAAAAAAAGTATGCTAATGGCAACTTAAGAAGAAAAGGCTTTGTCTATAGAAAAAGGTCAAACAGATGGTTTAACAGTGTCAGGCGATGGATCGTGGAGAAAACGTGGCTTTTCATCACTGTTCGGATTGGTAACATTAATTGGATGGTTCTCTGGAAAAGTAATTGACATTGTTGTGAAGTCTAAGTATTGCAAAGCTTGTGAGTTTTGGGAGAAAAAAGTTGACACTGAAGAATACGAAGAGTGGAAAACATCACGCGCTAACGAATGTCAAGCAAATCATGAAAGATTGGCCAGCAAAATGGAAGTAGACGCAGTCATTGAAATGTTCCAACGCTCAGAACAATTGCATCAGATGAAATACGTAAATTACATTGGAGATGGAGATTCCAAAACTTTTAAGGGTCTTTTGGAATCACAACAAGCAGAAAATTTATCAGTGAAGAAAAAGGAATGTATTGATCACATCCAAAAACGAATGGATATCCGCCTTCGTAACTTGAAAAAAGCCATGAAAGGACTTGGAGGAAAAGGCAAATTGACTGCTAAACTTATAGATGAATTGTCTGTTTTTTTTTTCGGATTAGCTATCCGTCGTAATCATGATTCAATTAAAAATATGAGGCGAGAGATCTGGGCGACCTTTATCATAAGTTATCCATAGACGAAAAGCCACAGCACGATAAATGCCCGCCCGGTAAAGATTCGTGGTGCAAGTGGCAGCAGGCGAAAGCCACTAATAAATTAGCTGAATTTAAGCATAAGACTTCCTCAAATGGTTTTTGATGCTATTAAGCCAATCTATGAAGAATTAAGCAGTGACGATCTTCTTAAACGTTGTTTAGGTGGCTACACCCAAAACAGTAATGAAAATTACAACGCTTTGATTTGGTCAATGGCTCCAAAATCAGTTTTCAGCGGCAAAGTTATTATTGATACAGCAAGTAATATTGCTGTTTGCACATACAATGAAGGATATTCAAATCTTATGAAGATTATGAAAGAATTAAGCATGACAATTGGATCGAACTGCTACAATTTCTGCCTCGAGACTGACGCGTGGCGCATCAAGTATTCGGAGCGCTCGCTGACAGATGCTGCAAAAGAGGCTCGATCATCACTAAAATCAGCCAAGAAGGATCAGAAGGAGGAGAACATCAATGAGAAAGGCCAATTCTATGGTGCAGGTATCGCAGATTAAAGGTAAATGTAAACTTTCTATTGCTGATTATTACATAAAACTTTAAACGCGTTTTTCTCGAAATCACTTTTTTCAAGCTGGCCGGACTCATAACTCCCACAAATCTTAACCGATTTACTTGAAATTTTGACCGTAGCTTCTAAAATACATTTGTCAGCGAACTACGTACGGATTTTACGTTTCGTTGTAAACTTTTTTTTTATAAACAATTTTCTGCAAAGTTTTTCGTCAAAAAATGAAATTTTTTTTCAAATTTGTGTCATTTAAAAAAAAATTATTTTCTAATTTCCGTACGGAGTTCGCTAGCTAATGACATAAAGAATTTAAAAAAAATTGGTTCTAGAGCAAAAATTGGAGCAGATTTTGGTCCGGCCATGAGGCACTTTCCGAAACGAGTGGTCATCGTTGCCGAGCTCTGTCACCGCTATTTTGTAATAAAAAAATGCAAAAAAATTTTTTATATATTTCAAAGTATGTAGGATAAAGTACTTCAAAAGGATTTTTCTTTACTGTTTTTGTTTTCCCATAAAAAATTATTAAAAATAGGCTTTTTTGGGGGTTCTACAGTGGCCTTACCTCTTAAAGGAAAATACAAAGAAAATTTCTAGTGAACTGAATTTTATTTTATCAATTACAGTAGTAGGGGAGCTGCCTCTCCTAAAAGGGAGTTTTATCAAAATGTCTTCCTGTTTTTATATGTATGTAAAAGTAAAGATAAAATTAATGAAACAAAATTTACTTACATATAACTCACGTGCGCCTGTGTATGTGACATGTATATTTTCTTAATAACTTTTAAATAACGTAAATAACGTAAATAACTTTTAAATATCCTGAAATAGAGGTGTGATAAAATGTTTATTATAACCTGAATTCATTCTTGAAATAAAAAATATCGGAATAACATTTCAGTAAACACTAATTAAAAATAAAATCACATCAATATTATAATTTCCTACTCACATACAACTATATATAACTGTTACATAACATACGCATTACCCATACAGCACAAGAACGTTAAATCCATATCTTATAAATGTTAAGTTTCAATATTGAGATGTATCAAAATTGCAAAATATAAATTCAATGTTGAAGAAACGTTGTAGAAACGTCTAATGTCCGCTGAATTGCGCTGAATACCTTGTAGATGTCTATAAGACGTTGTAAGACAGTCGTGATAATGACGTGAATTTTACGTTATCTGTTATGTCATTTATCCTTCAAGTTAACCAAATAATAACGTCTTTTTGACAGACCTAAATCACAGAACAGAAACGTCATATATATTACGTCTTAACGATGACATCTTTTTTTACATAAAATGACGTAACAATGACGTGTGATACTGGTTTAAAAAAATATTTCTTGCAAAAACGATTGTAATTAGTCAGCTTATATTGATTTTAAATGAAGTTTAGCTTTTTTATTTGATTTCTCACTATTTCCGCATCTAAAAATTTACTCAGTACTGGTCGGACGCGAACTCAAGACCTCATACACCCTCCAGGTTCCTAGTCTACTACTTTGTCTACTGCGCTATTTTTTTCATCTGGTACTAAGTATTTTTATTATCCCCATATGCAGCCGAAGCACTAATTATAATTTTCTTATAATATTTAGTACATTTATTCTTATAATACTTAGTACAGTGTTGTAACGCTGTTGCGTTCGGTATGCGATATGCGGTGCGAGTCAGTTCGATTCAGGTTCGTGGCAGATGTAATAAATTTTGAAGCAGTGGTATAGATGCTAAGAAATAAGATCTATTCTACCTTCTGTATAAAAAGTACCGGGAATCGTTAAAAAAAACACAGAATATTTTATTTATTCATCAAAATTTATTTTGTCGCCTTCAAAGTAATCCCCATCGTTTGCAATGCACATGTGAAAACGGCGAAACCAATTTTCCATGCATTTCTGGTAGGCCGATTCTGGTATGGCCTTCAGGACCCGCTGCGAATTCCTTTTGATGTCATCAATCGATGAAAAACGAGTACCACGGAGTGGCAATTTCAGTTTCGGGAAAAGAAAGAAGTCGCACGGTGCCAAATCAGGCGAATACGGTGGATGGTCGACAGAATTGACCGAGTTTTTGGCCTTGTAATCGGCCACAATCGTGGCTCTGTGCGCTGGCGCATTGTCATCGTGTAAAATCCACGAATTGTCTCGCCACAATTCGGGCCTTTTTCGCCGGATATCAGTGCGTCGGCACACGAAATTTCGTTTGCAACACAAAATTTGAGGCACACTCTTTGTTCGACTATTTTTTCCATGGTAAAATTCGCAGAGCAACACTGAGGTAGACTTGTTTGGACAGCTGCCATAAACAAACTAGTTGACTGATCGAGCTCAAGCTCCGGTTGGTAATGAAGGAAGGTAGTGCCAATCTAAAAAAAAAAACTTTTTACCGCTACCTCTTCCGCGGTTCATTTAAATGACAATTTCCCGGTACTTTTTATACAGAAGGTATATGAAAGGCTATGTAGACAATTATTTATAAGTCTCTTCGACGCCGTTGTTGTGTGGTGAAGTTTTTGCTCGTCGTACGAGTCGGTTTGTATTCGCAGATGACAGTTGGCAATAGCGTGGGTCCGGGAATGGCCCGCGGAACGCGGTCGGTGTTGTGTTGCGTCGTATGCCCCGCGCGTTCGGCGAGATATTTATATTTGGTAAATCTCGCTTAAGCAAGAGATTAAGGGAATGCTGGACATGAAAAAAAAACATTTACTTTTTTTGCAAAGTTTACGTCTAGTTGCTTGCACGGAATTACAAGCGCTTTTACACAACAAAAGTACATGCAAAAATAAATTAGAGCATTGCTCAATATGTGACGAAAAAAATTTATATAAATTTAAATTTTGAGCTGTCAATGCAATAATTGCTTAATATAAACATTCTGCAAGTTGTATATACTGAAACTGTGAATGCTCCAATCAGGAAAAGTTCAAAAATCACTACTACACTTTCAAAATTTAGTTTTGATGCCAAAAAAGATACAAAAAATTTGCAGAAAAGTTTATGAGAACCTGCGGTTAGGTATTCCGACAATTATGATAAAGTAGAACAAAAAATTAATTCACAGATATTTTTCAAGATGGCACCGTAATCTTATCGCACATTTCACAACGCCGGAATATTCATTTTATATATATATATATATATATATATGTGTGTGTGTGTGTGTGTGTGTGTGTGCGCGCGCGTGCGTGCGTGCGTGCGTGCGTGCGTGCGTACGTGCGTGCGTACGTACGTACATGCGTGTGTGTGTGTGTGTATGAGTGTATGTATATATACATATATACATATATGTATGTATGTAGGTGTGTATATATATATATATATATATATATATATATATATATATAAACATATATAATATATAATATGTAATCAAAATTCCAGGCAAAATAATAATATTTCTGCAAAGATCGTCCTATTGATTGAACTCAATTAAAAACAATTTTACATAGTGAAAATACGTGCGAAAATGAAGCATCCATCAATATAAGACGAAAACGATATCGCACAGTTATTATCACGACATCGAAATTTTCTGCAAAGTTTACTTCTTTTTACCTGCGTCGAATTAAAAATCCTTTTGCATGGGGAAAGTACGTGCAAAAATGATGCGGAGCATCCCAAAATATGAGACGAAAACAATAATAAACAGTTACTATCACGGAATCGAATCTTTCTGCAAAGTTTACTTCTTTCTACCTGCGTCGAATTAAAAACCCTTTTGCATGATGAAAATACGTGCGAAATGAAGCGGAGCATTCATCAATATGAGACGAAAACGATAATGCACAATTACTATCACGAAATCGAATCTTTCTGCAAAGTTTACTTCTTTTTGCCTGCGTTGAATTAAAAACTTTTTTGCATGGTGCGAAATACGTGCGAAAATGGAGCGGAGCATCTATAATATGAGATGGAAACGATAAGAAAAAATCTATTTTTTCATACATATTTATGATATATCTCTAAATAATAATAAGTCTATAATATATCTATATACTGCACGGAGACGATCGTCAAAATGTTACATTTGATAAGCGCCAATATGTTCGCGCTACCATTGCGCCAAATTATGATTTCATATATCGTCCCTTCACAAATGTTATACAAGTGTGTGTGCTACGTTGTCATTTCAATTTTCTTAACATAGACGTTACGTAAGTGTGAATGCCACGTTGCGCTTATTAAATGTTCTCAATTCCGTATACAGATATATTATATAGACATATCATCACCTAGAGATATATCATAAACAAGTATGAAAGAATAGATTTTTTCTTATCGTTTCCATCTCATATTGATGGATGCTCCGCTTCATTTTCACACGTATTTTCACCATTCAAAAAGTTTTTAATTTGACGCAGGTAGAAAGAAGTAAACTTTGCAGAAAAATTCGATTTCGTGATAGTAACAGTGTATTATCGTTTTCGTCTCATATTGATGAATGTTCTGCTTCATTTTCGCACGTACTTTCACCGTGCAAAAGGGTTTTTAATTCGACGCAGGTAGAAATAAATAAACTTTGCAGAAAGATTCGATATCGTGTTAGTAAGTGATCATTATCATTTTCCCCCCATATTGAGGGATGCTCCGCTTCATTTTCGCACGTACTTTCTCCATGCAAAAGGGTTTTTAATTCGACGCAGGTAGAAAGAAATAAACTTTGCAGAAAGATTCGATTTCGTGATAGTAACTGCTCATTATTGTTTTCGTCTCATATTTTGGGATGCTCCGCATCATTTTTGCACGTACTTTCATTATTCAAAAGGATTTTTAATTTGACGCAGGTAGAAAGAAATAAACTTTGCAGAAAGATTTGATTTCGTGATAGTAACTGTGCATTTTATCGTTTTTGTTTCATATTGATGGATGCTTCGCTTCATTTTCGCACGTATTTTCACCATGCAAAAGGATTTTTAATTCGACGATAGAAAGAAGTAAACTTTGCAGAAAGATTCAATTTCGTAATTGTAATAGTGCAT